ATAAAACTGGCAATTATTATCGGTAAGCAGAACTGGGCAAGCTACTTGAAAAAAGTAGCTAGCTACAAGTTACAAGCTACTATATATTGTAAGTAGTTAAGTTACTTAGTAACTTAAATACCTCTTTGAAAAAGTAGCTAAGCTATTGGTAAATTAACTACATTTTAAATTAGTTGAAGCTACATTTTCAAAAGTTAAATTAATCAAAACAAAAAACAATCAAATTATAGAAGGTTTTTATATTCTGTCCAAACCAAAGTCTGAAAACTGAAAAGACGGGGATCATAATAATAAACAACTGTGGTGGCGTGGCGTGGCGCTGATTCCAGTCACTCCAAACATGAAAATGCCAAAAGGCAAAAATTGCAACGTCGCATATAAATTGTTTTGAGGCTCCCACCAAGCTCTTATTTCTCTTTCGTGCGCACCGTGCCGAAGAAATGCGGCGAAATTCAAATCGGCAATCCTCGTTTGTCGTCGGAACACACTGAGCACAGTGCCGTAGCGTAGAGAACAGTGTCATAGTTAAATATTCTCATTTATTTGGTAGATTTTAACTGGAGGCAATTTTGACAGGCGCCCGACGAAAACAACGAATTTGTTTAAGCTCATCTACGTTGTTTTTAGATATATTATATTGTTGTTCAAAATTACTGTCTATATGAGAGAGTACCTACTCTAAATTCTGATTTCTTCTGAATTTAACGGTGGGTGAAACTGCGGGGAACAGAACCACTAACTCCAGCGATGTGCGAATGCGAGAATAAAACGGGACACAAGTTGAAACTAGTCTATAGACTAGACACAGGATAAGATTTTTCTGGGAAAATAATTATTGCAACTTAATCAATAAAACAACTACCAAAAATAGCTTAAGTTACCAAAAGTAGCTCGAGTAGCTTGCTTTAGTAGCTAGCTACATTTCACAGTAGCTTATGAATACATGAAACAAATTACTAAAAGCTACAGCTACAAGCTACTTTTTGAAAAAAGTAGCTTGAATAAGTTATTAGCTACCAAAAAAGTAGCTAAGTTAGTAGCTTAACTACTTGGTAGCTAGCTACTGCCCAGCTCTGTCGGTAAGTTTGGTAATGTCTGCTTAAAATTGTAAATTCCGGGTTATTATGGGAAAGTTTGAAAATGTCTGATTAAAATTGCAAACTAACCGAGTTATTATGGGTAAGTTTGGAAATGTCTGATTAAAATTGAAAACCAACCGGGTTATTATTCATTTGCATTTTTGTTCCGTCGCGCTTTCGTTACTCGCGCTTTTAACCAGTCGCGTTTTTGCCCATCGCGCTATATTCCAGTCGCGCTTTTGTTCCGTCGCGCTTTTGTTCCGTCGCGCTTTTGTCCCTTGCGCTTTTGTTCTTCGCGCTTTCGTCTAGTCGTGTCTATGTCCATCGCGCTTCCGTCCTGTTGCGTTTTTGTTCCGTCGCGCTTTTGTCCCTCGCGCTTTTCTTACCGCGCTTTTCTACTTCGCGCAAACGGCTGTCACGCAAATGACACAGAGCCAGTATCTAATCCTTTGGCTTAGAAGAATGTTTGCATAGCAGATTGGACCCAATATGGACTCATTGGACCCAATATGGAATGCTTTAGGGAGGTTTGTATACCAAGGTCCCGAACGGGCCATTCAGTCTGGCATACAGACACACCGAAAACAGAGCAAGGGACTAGAGCAGGAGTATAAGGCCCACTTTGTAGACTATCAACATTTCTAGTAGAAAGCCCAACCGTATTTCAAGCGGAAATACAATAGCTAGAAAGTGTCTCGAAAGAGATTTGCGAGGAGCGGAGATCTACACCAATCCTGACAGTGAGGCAGCACTAAGAGCTCTGAGTAGCTTTGTCACCAAGCCCAAACTGGTATGGCAGTGCAAACAACTCCTAAGGTGACTAGCGTCTCGCAAAAGAGTCACCCTGTCCAGGGCACCAAAGAGTTGAGAGGAATGCAATAGCGCACCAACTTGCAAGACAAGGAGCTGCAACACCATTCGTTGGAACCTTTCTTCGGCAATACGAAAAGCCATGTAATAGGGGAAGTCTAGAATTGGGTAGAGGCTCAACAAGCCTCCCGTTGGAACACGTTTCCAGGATTTAGACAGGCGAAACAGTTCATCTCGCCTCAGTCAATAAGGGCCAAGGAAATGGAGGAGTGACCTTAGTAATGCGGATCTAAGGCTGCTAACAGACCTCTTTACGGGTGACTGTTACTGCCCTCTGATTTAGCACCTAAAAAAGATGAAGAAGCCTCTGAGACTGCGGAACACATACATTGCAACTACGAGGTATTGTGCCGCAGAAGACGAAGTGAAAGAAGCCAATCTCAGAAACATTATCAGAGCAGCAAGTCTCAATTCACCACGAATCAGTGGATGAGAAACTACAGAGATGGAGAAAAAAGCCTTTGCATGCGAGACATTTGAATGAGGTAAGTCAGGATTATGTCGACAGCATAGCTAGTCTAGGAAAATTGTCGAAACATACATGCATTTCAAAAAAAAAAATCCTACACAAATGATTTTCTCAGGGATGATAAGGGACGGGTGGGTGATCATAAAACCGAAGATATCACACATGCATTCCTCTGGCGTTTTGGCGTTTCAGATAAAAGATGTGCAGCATTATTTGATCTACAATGTTTATCTAACGACTTTTTTGATTGAGGGCCGTCTGTGGGCATAAGTGCCATTTGAAATTTATATTGAAAATATTTTTTTTTAACCAACGTGAAAAAAAATTCTACTACACATACAACGTTTCTGCCTTATGAAGTTTTTACTCAACCCCTGCCATTTTTCAATAGGGGTAGTTTAAAGTTTTTTTTTATTTTTTTACAAAAAAAATTCTCAATAAAAGTTTTATAAGATTACATTTCCTACAATTTTTCCTTATCAAATTTTTTTGTAACTTACCCCATTTCAGCTGGGGGACACTTTTTATTTTCATTACAAATTTCAAACAGCTCTTATGACCACAGACGTCCCTTAATCAAAAAAGTCTTAGGATAAACATTGTAGATCAAATAATGTTGCACATCTTTTATTTGAAACATTTTTTTGTAAAATCAATAGGTACCAAGTAATCGCCAATGGTGCACTTTCAACCCCTATAGCGCAAAACGCCAGAGGGGTGCATTTGCGATATTTTCGGTTTAATGATCACCCACACGCCTCCTATCATCTTTAAAAATTCATTTGGGCAGGTTTTTTTTTTTTGAAAATCGACAATTTTCCCAGACTAAACCTAAACACCCCAACCATCACATTATACAATCCCAAGGTCCAATATCTGAAGCTAAAGATATAATTGGTGCTAGTGGATGCTAAATAACTATGGCTTTTATCTGGGATCATAGTGAAGGGCCAAAATTGCCGTTAATTTTATAAGCCAAATATTTCTTTATGTCCGATTGACCTATAAAGTACTATTTATAGAACAGTTTTGCGTCAATAAAGTAGCACTTTATTGTACTAGTAAAATAAAGTGCTACTTTATTTTACTAGTAAAATAAAGTGCTACTTTATTGCCTACCTGGGCTACCTGACAAGGTGAAACAGGTCCTGACAACCTGCCAAGGTGAAACAGGTTTTGACAACCTGCCAAGGTAAAACAGGTAGGTATACCTACCCAAATTTTACATTTTTCATTTAATTTTTAACAAAAACTAGTCGCAATCGTACATAAAATATTGTATATAACGCTTACATAAACAGGCTTTATTGACTCATTATTTAATAGCCTCGCTCGCAAGCTCGCTCGGCCATAAAATTATTCGTACAATAAAGCCTTACTTTATGTACTTGTTATATAAATAGCTATTATCATAAGTTCCCATATTCGAAGTCCGTAGAAACTAACAAATCCTGTGAACATATAGCCTTGTGTAACCAAAAGTTACAGGACGAATGTTTTTTGAATTTCAAATTTCGGATTTTTTTCGTATCAGAAACAATAAACTCTAAAAACTCCGATTCAAAAGCAAATATTTTCCGTCGGCCGGGGTCCGTTTAACTTCAAAAAAAGTAATACAGTCTATGTGTATAGACATAATCCGATCATCATAACAAAATAAAAGAACGAAACATAAAACTCAACAGCTTTTTATTGTTATTCAATCCGATACACCTCCCTCTTTCGAAATGGGGCTTTGATTCTATTTTTTTGGTAAATATTTATGGGTACCTACACCCTTTTGGAGAGAGTTTATCTATAAAACTTCGGCATCAAAAAGGTTTTTTTTATATACGAAATGTTTTGTTGAATAATGAATAGTATTTACATTTAATTTCATTTAACAAAAGGGTAAGAATTATATGTGTATATATTTTGCACTCTATTTTTATTACGTACCTACTTCCTTATAGGAAGTAAGTAGAAATACCTACTTCATAATCATATAATGTTCTTTGATTTTGCTTTCCTCATTTTATAAATCTCATCAATCGAACTTCTCTCCCTCACTTTCCAGGCATCTGAACTTTTTACACCAGTTTAAACAAAGCCCCCAGGGAAAATTATTTCATCGAAGATAGATTATCAAAATTAGATTGCAAAACAATTTGTAGGGCGCCCTAAATTAAAATCAATAACTTTAAACTTAAATCCTTTACATTTTGTAAACCAGTTAAGACCTACTTATTTAAATTCCCAAAAAAAAATAACACGCGCTAGCTATTGAAATATCAATTTCCGAAATTAAATGGATTGTCCAAAGATAAAGGCAAATTAAATTAGCAATTCGGCGTCAATAAACAAAAGAATTAAAGAAGATAGCAGTCGGGCGTTCTAAAACTCGTTAACGATGTTAGAGTCCTTGGGGGAAGTTCTGAGGGCAAATTCGCAAGGGAGAGTCGCAGAAACTAATCGAGAGGAAAAAGAAATGATCGCGATTTATAAGAAAATGTTTCGGATTTCGCTTTTGAAATCATCTTATTGGATTTAGGATTTGAAGTAATAAAGGTCAAACAATAAATAACAGTATTTTTCTCAATATTGTGCTATCATGATTTATTGACCAAAAACCTCAAAATAGTTTGCAAACTCTTTGTAGAAACGTGGTGAATAGAAAAGAGGGAACATTTTGAATCATCAATGAAATCAAAAGAAAAAAAAATATATATTAACAAAATAATACAAAAATCAATTCTTTATAAATATTTGATCGGATGGTACTTTATCGAAAAACACTTGTGCATAATCTCTAAATATTTTTCCATAACCTTTCTCAACTTCCGACTTGACGTCCGTCCACATAGCTTGCCATTCGTCATTAAGAACTTTATTTATGTTATCGCCCAATAATTTATTACCGTCGAACAAATTTCCGAAATACATTGTTACCTTTTCAGGCACCATGTTGAGAAAAAGCGAATTGATTTTCAAGTGAGTTTTGCCGCTCTTTTGGACTTTCTTGCATTTGAATTCGAGTAGTAATTGTAGGTTAACTGAAAAAAAGAATGGTCAAAACTCAAAACTTATTTTTAAACCAACATAAATAATGGTGTAATTGACTGGACAAAACCTGAAAAGAAAATTACAAGGGGAAACTTCTGCTATTGTGAAAAATTACTTTTGCTGCGACCGATTTCAACTCTGAAAGTTCGAGAAGTTTCTAGAACACTGTTTCTACAGACTAAAGATATCTTTGTAACTCCTCTGACGTATTTTATACATCAAGAAACGAATTTCGAGAAAGTTTGAGAGAATTTTGAAACATTCTTCCACATAGCTTTGTATGTGAGTCGCAATTGGTTAGTTTATCTTGTACTTTTTTCCGTGCATATTAGTCCTTTAATCAAAAAATTCAATTGAAAATTACCAAGTTTCAATATAGCTTCTCCATCACCAAAAACGGGAAGCGTCGATATCTGCCCTTTGGCATGATAATGTGCTATTTGAGTGGCAAGGGGACAAGTTGCCGAAAACAATATAGTAACGATATCATCTGCCTCGTCATAACTGGAAAAGAAAAAAATTAAAATCAATTTTTAGGTGATGATTATGGATAAATTTTTAGCTGATGTTATGGTTGTCTTTATATATCCGATAAGGATAGCGTTATTTAAATTATAAGTGAAAAAGAGTGTCTATAGATCTGATATAAATAAGAATTGACTGCTGACAAATTTTTTCATTGTAGTTAATGATATTACTACAGTCGGTCCTTACTGTGCCTTGTTCAATATCGAATCCGAAAGTCCAGTAACAGTAATATTGTCATAATACTGTGTGAGTTGTACTGGACCATTTCCAGAACCAAAAGTTAGTTTATCAGTATGCAACGGATCCAATGGTTTCATTCCATATTGTGGCATACCTGAAAAAAAAAAAATTAGTTTGCATTACATAATGTCGGTGTTTTTCAGGATGTTCTCAGGTAAAATATAGCAATAAATCCGAATAATAATAATAATTTCGAGGTGTGATTTACTGGTCGAAATCCTTGTACAAGTTGGTCAAAACTCAGAAAATCTCATAAGATCTACTCAAAATCCCTAAAAATCTTTGAAATCCCTAAAAATTTAACAAAACCCCACAAAATCTCTTGAAATTCCCAAAAATCCTTTGAAATCACCAAAAATCTGTTAAAGTCTCTCAGAATTCCATAATTTAGTGGAATTTCGAGGAATTTTGGTAGAATTATATTATTCTGAAAAAAGAATTACATGTGAAATTTTTGCATTGTTTTCATAGAATTCAGATTATATTTTAGTTCCTTTCGAATTACATGAAATTTTAATGAAATTCCGATTGAATTACACGAAATCCTAAATGAATTACATGGAGGAGTTCTAAACAATTATATAAAATTACACCGAAATTCCCAACATAAAATTTCAGTTCTTAGTGAATTTTAGTAAAATTCCAGGTGGAATGTCGAGGAATTTCCGGCTAAAAACATGGAATTTCGGTGATATTTCGAAAAATTCCCATGTTGACATGAAATTTCAATATATTTCGGTGAATTTTCAAGAAATTACTTGAAGTTTCATTATTATTCCCAGAAATTCCTGGCTATTAAAAAATAATTTCAGTGAAATTAACAATATTTCTTATGAAAATAAATGAAATTTTGAAAAATTTCTTGAAGTTTCATTGGACTTTCGAGAAATCTTTGGCTATGGACGTGGAATTTCAAAATATTCTCATAAAATTTTAGTGTATTCCGAAGAATTCTCAAGAAATTACATGAAATGTCAATGAAATTCCGAAGAATTTTATGAAATTTTTGCGGAATTCCAGGATATTTCAGTGGTGAAATTTTGGAGAATTTTAGTTATTAGGAAATTTTGAAATTGAAATTTTAGTGGAATTCCGAGGAATTTCATGAAATCCTATACTGTAATTCCGAAAAAATTTGTCTAAGAATTCCATAAAATCTTCTGGTGAGGAATTTCTATGGAATTACTAAAAATTTTCGCGGATTTCCCATGGAATATCTTGAAATTTTAGTGGAATTCCGAAGAATTTCATGAACTTTCATAGTGTAACTCCGAGGAATTTTTGTTCAAGACTTCCATTGAATTTTATTGTGGAATTCCATGAAATCTTATGGTGAAATTTGGAAAAATATTATGAAATCTTATAGTAAAATTTTTAGGAATATCCGTTTTTCCATTCAAATTTACCATTTAAATGGAATTTCGAGGAATTCCATAAAATCTTCTGGTGAAATTCTAAGGAATTTCTATGAAATTGACTAAAATTTTCGCGGAATTCCCATGGAATAACTTGAAATTTTAGTGGAATTCCGAAGAATCAGTTGCATGGAAAAATTCTAAACAATGACATTGAATTACACCGAAATTCCCAACATGAAATTTTAGTGCTCGTTAAATTACATAAAGAAGTTTTAAAAAGTTTCAAAAAATTACATGATTTTCGAGGAATTTCTGTCGAATTATATGGAGCTAGCTCCGATGCAATTACATGGAATTCTAAGGAATTGTCAGAGAATTACATGAAATTTAAGTGGAATTTTGAACAACTATTATCGTTTCATAATGAATTCCAATGAAATTCTGAAAAATGTAATTACATGAAGTTTTATTTTATTTCAAGGAATTCCTAGTTAAAAACATGGCATTTTAGTGAAATTGAAATTCCGAAAAATTCTCATCACATCATGAATTTTAGTAAAATTAGAGAAAATTTCACAAGTGGAATTCCGAGGAATTTCTGGCTAAAAACTTGGAATTTCGGTGAAATTTGAAAAAAATTCCCATGTAATGATATGAAATTTCAATATATTTCGGAGGAATTTCGGTGAATTTTCAAGAAATTATTGAAGTATCAATAATATTCCCAGAAACCTGACTATTGAAAGAGAATTTCAGTGATATTCCGAAAATTTTGTATGGAAATAAATGAAATTTTGAAAGAAAATTTTGAATTTTCATTGGAATTTCGAGAAATTTTTGACTAATACCGTGGAATTTCAGTGAAATTTCAAAAAATTCTCATAAAATATTAGTGAAATTCCGAGGAAATTACATTTCAGTGAAATTTCGTAAAATTTTATGAAAATTTTGTGGAATTCCAGGATATTTCTGTGATGAAGTTTTGAGCAATTTCAGTAAAGTTTTAAAAAAATTATGGAATTTGGAATTTCTATGGAACTTTGGAGAATTTCAGAGGAATTTCGAAAAAAAAAAAATAAAAACTATGAAATTTTCAAAAAATTTCCATCAAATTATATATAATTTCATTTTGTGTCCACTTACATAAAATTTCGATGAAATGTCGAGTGAAATTCCAAATAATTCTCGTCGAATTACATACATGGAATTTTTTGAAATCTTATTATAGAATTCCAGTGAAATTACATGGAATCCGAAGATTTCCATCGGAATCAAACAGAATTTCCGTGGAATTTCCATGGAACCACGAGAAATTTCGACGGAATTCCGAAGAATTGAATTAAATTTTAGTGAAATTCTGAGTAGTTTCTGTCGAATTGCATAAAATTTTAGTGGAATTCCGAGAAATTTCATGAAATATTTTACTGTAATTCCAAGGAATTTTTGTTCAAGAATTCCATTGAATTTTATAATGGAATTCTATGAAATTGGACTTTCAGAGGCCGTACTAAGGAATAAACCTAAGAAACCTAGTGTATTTGGAATCAGGCTTGAAAGGCTAATCTACTAGGTCAATAATATACGGGATGTTCCATTTTAAAAAGTTTAACTTTGCTTTGCCATACTTTTGTGACACAGCCTGTATACTTGTAATTAACTTCATTGCATTGAGTTTCTGATATTACCTAGAACTTTCACACTTGATATTTCTGGATATCTCATCAAACAGGTGAGATAGGTAGGGGTTCAAAATATAAACAATCACCCGGTACATACTGCTACTTTTTATTCTCTTAAACTTTTGATATTTGATCTGTGACATTTATATACAGGGTGTCTCATAAGTCACGGTCCAAACTGAAAGGGGTGATAGAGGAGGTCATTGCCGACAAAAAAAAACCTATGTTACTATACAATTCTTCACGATTTTCAAGATGTTCGAATTTTATCGATTTTAACAAACATCACCCCTTTCAGTTTGGACCGTGACTTATGGGACACCCTGTATATGAGAAAGACCTGCCGTGGTGATAGATCAATAAATCAATTTATGCGGTGAAGTGCTTTTGTTAATAGAGTGGAGAATTGACGTAAAACGTCTTTACTCTCGGTAGACATAGAGGAATAATGATACTGCTCTGGAAAGTGAAGAATTGATAACCAAGATTGATTGGTTTCAAGATTTTACAGAAAACTGAAGGCCTAAAATTGATTCTGGAAGAAACATTTGCATTCAGAGCGGGATATTTATTGACTGAGCTACTTACAGGCGAACATCGATTTATTATTAGAAGACAACTACTGTTGCATGTAAAAAAAAAACCCATCATACTCGAGTTCAAACGAAAGAAAAGTGAAATCCCTTTTATACTGTGGCATTAGGAGAATAAAAATACTAAGTTATAATAAATTAGTTTGGCGAAGAAAATCTTGCTGCAAATTGTAAATACAATGACAAATATAAATTAATAATATGGAAGCTATTTTTTTTTAATCACAATCATTTTCTTGAGAGAACAGATAAACACACATACATACCTGGTCTAAGCATTTTTACGGCACTTTGGATACTGCTCAACAAACATTTGTTCGGATTGGGATTTTTAAAATTGCAAAAACCGAAATTTTCGCCATCTGAAAAACAATAATAAATTTATTATTCTTGCGTATTAAGTAATCGGTATGTAATAATCAGATTGTTACATAACCCAAACCAATTACTTACAATAACCATTTACAAACAAAGTAAGAGTCAGTAAGAAAATCCACATTTTGTCACTTGCTGTATTTCTTCACAACTACTTCACATTGACTGGTGACCAATGTTTAAATGAAAATTATTCCAACATAACCACTTAGCATACATTAGCCTTAAAAAAAATAATATGTATTTATTGCATTTTGAGATGAACAAATAATCCTGTTTTTATGTTATCGATTAGCATATTTTTTCGCAAGCATCGTAACGTATAAGGTACGCAGTCTTATAAAATTTGGAAAAGATTAATTGATTGAGGTTGTTTTATCATCATAATTAGGTTGATTTGTTGTTGAAATATTCAGAAACCATCAAAGGCATGCGCATTTCGGATTTCGGTAGAAGTTGTGTAGAAATTCTTATTGTATTTTGTAATTTTTTAACATAATGTTGGGTTTGAAGAAGGAAAATTCCTGTTCATCGGAGTCGGTAATAGTATATTACATACCGAGTAGGGAAGTGTTTCATTACTGTCGAGAGATTTATATAGTCAATCGAGACGCGAAGCGTCGAGATTGACTATTAATCTCGAGACAGAAATGAAAACTTTCCTCCGAGGTTTGTATGCCATTTTATTTGCAAGCACACCATTAATTACGATTAGTCAATCAATTTTTTTAATGTTAAAAAAATAAAACAAACATGCCAAAATGTGTCATTCACTGTTTTGACGTTTTTACCTGACATGTTCTCATTGTTGTCAGCAAAGGTAAATAAATTAGAGTGAGGGAAATCGGTGAGGGAAGTCGAATAGGGAAATCGATGAGGGAAATCGAAGAGGGAAGTGACACAAGTAAAGTGTCACTTCCAAATTTTTAAAAAGTCAGTAATGACAAGATTACATATATGATTGCAAATAAAATTTGTAATCAGTTTGGAATCTTGTTCTGCGAACAAACCTATGTCTAAAATCACAAGAGAGACTTATTATGAGGGAATTTCATCATCTAGAAAACGGGTTTTTGAATGACAAAACGAGATGTCTTGCTGGTGACCGTCAAACTACAAGATATTATTTTTGGCGGCCAAATTTCTACATTCCCAAAAAGGTATGATCAATAATTTTCCACATGTAAGAGAATATTATTTTATTAGGAGTAAAACCTATCGAGAAATATATGCGTTACAGCAGCGGCAGTAAAAGTACTTTTACTTTCTTTGTTCATAGTGACGACCAACTGACAACAAAATAAAAAAATCATGAAAATCTCAGATTCTCTGGTTGAACAATCAGGTCGAATATCATTTCAAAAAAAAATTGTACAGACTAGCCGTAGCCTTGTTTGGGTTTTGAAGAAAGGACGGTTCAAAACAATCGCACAGTTTATTATTGACAATTATGATAGCCGAGCCGTTGTCATTTTCTTGATTGATAAACTGTGCGATTGTTTTGAACTTTTCTAGAACTGTCCTTTTTTCAAACCCGAACAAGGCTAATATTTTTCTCGTTTGTATTCAAGTTTATCGCCTTCATGAATTAACCAACACGACCGAAGGTTTTGCCATTTTAACAATTTATTAATATAATTAAAATTAACGGATTACAATAAGAGTATAAACTATGAATAAAAAACCGACTGTTCGCACCTGGTTGGGATGTTCCTTATATCTAGGTTGAATATACATCCTCAGCCTGTATAGGGAATTGACCACGATATAACTCCTCCATCCTCAGTTTCAACTATTCTGGGACAGGGGTAGTTCAACCTAACAAACACAGTACCTACGTACTGAAGACGTACATTTTAGGTCCTTTTTACGTCGGTTCGTCGGGGATGTAAAAGTACGTTTTGAGTACGTACGTAAAAAACTGTATTAACATACGGACAAAAAAGTACGTACTAAGAACGTACGTGAAAATCTATATTGCGTACGTATTATAAAAGACGTACATGTTCGTTTCAAAGACGAACAATACAAGACGAGCTGGATCATTCCCATCTATTCATGATTTTTTTATCAATTTCTAATCATAATATATTTTTAAATAATATGCAATTTCCGAGCAAAATATACGGAAGTGGTAGCCTTCCAAATTAACCTCTAAACCCTAAGCCAAATGTATGTGAACCAAACGCAGGCTGACGTAGATTCCTATTATTAAACCTTAAATCTAAACTTAAATAAATACGAATACATTGTCATTATAAATGTTTTGTGAGGCAGGTCATATAATCAAGGATTTATAGTTCATTTAGGTACCTGACCTAAATAAATGGTCGAATGTTCGAAATAAACATGAAATAAACCAAGAAATAAACCAATGAGTGGAAAACAAGGGACGCCGCCGGCCGGTCGGTTGGCTACGGCAGGGAGCATTGGGTGCAGTATTGCCAATGAACGATAATTATCGAAATCTACCATAATTTTGACTACGATTCAATATTCGATAATCACAAGCTAAATCTACCATAAATTATTGAAACTACAATTTCAATGCATATTTTTAAAATTTTTAGTTGAAAATTAAAAATTTATTTGGTTGGTGGTTTTGACGTACTGCTGAGCGCACACCAAACATTTCCCAGCTAGAAATAAGTTGAGCTCGCAGCACCGTTTCTTTTTCGTTAATTTAGTTGTTAGAAAAATATAAATAGAGATGAAAGTCAAAAAAATTGACACAAACTTCTTCTGATAATTTTGAATTTGACATCTGGCAACACTGGCAGGGCTCATTATTTTGATATGACGCCTCGCTTGAGTTGTTCCTGTTTGATTTTGCCTTTTTCTCTTGTGTTTGTAGCTCGTTTGTAGTCTGTTTGTAGAGTGGTGTGTGAGGTTCTTCTATTTTTTTTTTTTTTTGCCAAATGAAGTGACGCGAGAACCATTTTGTATTGATTGCAGCAACGCCGGCATGTGTTTGTTTAAGTGTTTAGCTTGGCGGCTTCGCTATACCACTTTACTGTATTTTGTGTGTATAATAATACTTTTAGGCTGAAGACACAATGACAATAAATACAAGATACAAGAGACAAATACAAAATACCAAAAAATCGAAAATTTGTATCATGGCATGGCAAGTAAATTGTATCCTGTATCCATTTATTCTGGGTTATAGCATTGATACACGTGTTATTATTATTTTGTCTCTTGTCACTTGTATCTTGTATTTGTCATTGTGTCTTCAGCCTAAAAGTATTATTATACACACAAAATACAGTAAAGTGGTATAGCCAAGCCGCGAAGCCGCCAAGCTAAACACTTAAACAAACACATGCCGGCGTTGCTGCAATCAATACAAAATGGTTCTCGCGTCACTTCATTTGGCAAAAAAAAAAAAAAAATAGAAGAACCTCACACACCACTCTACAAACAGACTACAAACGAGCTACAAACACAAGAGAAAAAGGCAAAATCAAACAGGAACAACTCAAGCGAGGCGTCATATCAAAATAATGAGCCCTGCCAGTGTTGCCAGATGTCAAATTCAAAATTATCAGAAGAAGTTTGTGTCAATTTTTTTGACTTTCATCTCTATTTATATTTTTCTAACAACTAAATTAACGAAAAAGAAACGGTGCTGCGAGATCAACTTATTTCTAGCTGGGAAATGTTTGGTGTGCGCTCAGCAGTACGTCAAAACCACCAACCAAATAAATTTTTAATTTTCAACTAAAAATTTTAAAAATATGCATTGAAATTGTAGTTTCAATAATTTATGGTAGATTTAGCTTGTGATTATCGAATATTGAATCGTAGTCAAAATTATGGTAGATTTCGATAATTATCGGGTCATTGGCAACACTGCACCCAATGCACCCTGCCGTAGCCAAGCGACCGGCCGGCGACGTCCCTTGTTTTCCACTCATTGGTTTATTTCTTGGTTTATTTCATGTTTATTTCGAACATTCGACCATTTATTTAGGTCAGGTACCTAAATGAACTATAAATCCTTGATTATATGACCTGCCTCACAAAACATTTATAATGACAATGTATTCGTATTTATTTAAGTTTAGATTTAAGGTTTAATAATAGGAATCTACGTCAGCCTGCGTTTGGTTCACATACATTTGGCTTAGGGTTTAGAGGTTAATTTGGAAGGCTACCACTTCCGTATATTTTGCTCGGAAATTGCATATTATTTAAAAATATATTATGATTAGAAATTGATAAAAAAATCATGAATAGATGGGAATGATCCAGCTCGTCTTGTATTGTTCGTCTTTGAAACGAACATGTACGTCTTTTATAATACGTACGCAATATAGATTTTCACGTACGTTCTTAGTACGTACTTTTTTGTCCGTATGTTAATACAGTTTTTTACGTACGTACTCAAAACGTACTTTTACATCCCCGACGAACCGACGTAAAAAGGACCTAAAATGTACGTCTTCAGTACGTAGGTACTGTGTTTGTTAGGTTGAACTACCCCTGTCCCAGAATAGTTGAAACTGAGGATGGAGGAGTTATATCGTGGTCAATTCCCTATACAGGCTGAGGATGTATATTCAACCTAGATATAAGGAACATCCCAACCAGGTGCGAACAGTCGGTTTTTTATTCATAGTTTATACTCTTATTGTAATCCGTTAATTTTAATTATATTAATAAATTGTTAAAATGGCAAAACCTTCGGTCGTGTTGGTTAATTCATGAAGGCGATAAACTTGAATACAAACGAGAAAAATATTAGCCTTGTTCGGGTTTGAAAAAAGGACAGTTCTAGAAAAGTTCAAAACAATCGCACAGTTTATCAATCAAGAAAATGACAACGGCTCGGCTATCATAATTGTCAATAATAAACTGTGCGATTGTTTTGAACCGTCCTTTCTTCAAAACCCAAACAAGGCTACGGCTAGTCTGCACAATTTTTTTTTGAAATGATATTCGACCTGATTGTTCAACCAGAGAATCTGAGATTTTCATGATTTTTTGATTTTGTTGTCAGTTGGTTGGAAAATTTGTATCATGGCATGGCAAGTAAATTGTATCCTGTATCCATTTATTCTGGGTTATAGCATTGATACACGTGTTATTATTATTTTGTCTCTTGTCACTTGTATCTTGTATTTGTCATTGTGTCTTCAGTCTTACCAAGATTATTACTGTGTGAAACTTTTTCTGGTT